CTCTCCCCTGAATATGCTGACTTAATTCCTTGTTCTGGTGCTTTGCCTATACCAATGGGTACTTTTCTTGAAGTGCTGTAATGCGAGGTCTTTAAATGAAGGACTATCTCATATATATATTTGTTTTTACATCTTTTAGACTAACTAGATATTTATTGCTATCTATATGTTATACATATATCTTATATGTTATCTAATTTAGAGAAATTAAGACTGTTTTCTTTAAAAGGGATTTTGTATAGGAATTTCAAAATACTATGTTGGCTTGTGAAAGTTCAGTATTACATTGTTTACTTTTACAAAAGAATAGTTAACTTCTTATGAAGGTGCATGTCTGATTATTTCAAAGATTCTGATATCTAGAAGCTTGGCATGTACTTTCTGCTAATGTAATCATGTGGTCTGAAAGACAGACTTGTAGGCATTATCATGTATTTCAGTTATTAAATATTGAAAGACCTGTGGCCAATGGTGATGTGTTTTTTGCCCTGTGCTCTGAATGTCAAATGAAGAAATTTACTGAAGCATAGGTAAATGTGGATCTGACTAGGACCTTATTAAGGTAGCAAATATATCACCATCTAATTAGTGTATTAAGGGATGTATAAAAATCTGGCATCACTACCTATTATCTGATGAAACAGGCATGGGGAATGACTTGGAAAAAATCTGTGAGCAAAGAAAAGTGTGCTTGATTATAAACTTGGCATGGTGAAGAGACACAGGAGGTACAAACTAGGTGAGTGCTTCTGTTAGAGACAAGGAGGTCAGACTTTGGGTCTCCAAATCCATTGTCTTATAAACTACTTCAGAACTTAGAAAATGAAGGAACATTCTCAAAACATTTTTTTTAAAAGATTTATTTGTGCATACAGAACTGGGGTACAGGCCAGAGGCTCAGGGGCGGAGAGAGGCTTCACCAGAGACAGAGTGGGGAGCAGAACAGGCAGATCAACTAAGTACACTGCTGAGGGGAGCAGCGGGAGGGGGCGGGGCAGGGGGGTCAAGAGAGATCTGCCACGCCACGTGGTCACCTCCGGAGCAGGCGGGAATGGAACTCATGTGGAAGTGGCGCTAGCCTCTCAGTGCTGTGCTTTAACCCTCTGTACCATCAGGGAGGGCCACATTCTCAAAACATTTTAAACTATATTTCTGTTAACAAAACATATTTAAAACTAAAGACATAGAAATTTCAGCTATGAATTAAAAATACTGCCTCCCAGTATAGACAGATATAATCAAATAGTACATGAATGAGGGAAGATTTAACCCAGTACTTCAAGGATGGTTAAATAGTAGAAAAGATAGATTTTATTATACTAAAAGTTATTATCATCATTATCATAATCATCTCCCTATGGTTTTTTTCATAATGACACTAAAAATCGAAAAAAATATGAACACTTTTTCAACTTTGTGAAAGCTAAGTTTTTAGAGATAGCAGCCATGACACTTGAGGATATTCCCATGAAATTAGTTACAGACATAGATGTATATTCTTATTTTTTTAATATTACTCTGGATGTCCTGTTCAATCCAAAGCTAAAAGAAGGAAATTAGAAATGGAAGAATTCCAAATAAGTACAAATGATCACTTTTTGTAGATGATTGTATGACTGTGTTGTATTGTATATGGTTTATACCTAATAGAATCATCTAAAAACCTACTTACTGAGAGCCTCCCTGGTGTTCTGCGGGTTAAGTCTCAGTGCTATCATCCCAACGGCCTATGTTTGACCTATAGTTAGGAAATTAACCCACATATGGTGCAGCAGACCTCTCCAATCTCACCTGCTGCCCACTCAGAAGTGTATTTCAGTGGCTCTGTCTAATCTGCTCCCAATTCTATCTCTGGTGAATCCTTTCATCCCGTACACCTCTGGCCTATACCCCAGTTCTTCTACAGAATAGATATTAAGAGAAAAGTCTGCTTACTGAAATTAGTAAGAAGTTAATAAGTTAATAGAAGTTCATAAATTAGTATACAGGCATCAACAATTTTACGTACACAAACAGAACAAAAATCAAAGCAATAATCCCAATAATAACAAGAAGAAATAAAATAATTTAAAAAAGAATAAAATAGCTAGACAAAAAGCAATATTGGGAGCAACTTTAAACATTAAAAATAGTAGATTAATGATCAAATGGAGAGGCATGTCATATTCTGAGGGTCAGCATTGATTTTCTTAAATCAATTTTATCAATTTAACTCAATTAGATTTTGTTTCGAACAAGGCAAGCTGATTTTGAGAGTCATATAATAATTACCAAATAAGAGGCACCAAGAAAATATTGAAAAAAGGTATGCAATGTTGGAAAGAAGGCAAAAGAACCTAATTAGCTTCACTAGAAATTAAAATGTTAAAAAGGTTTCTTAAAAAAGACATGTTGGCCCTCCCTGCTTATGTAATGGTTAGAGCACAGCACTAAGAAGCTAAAGCCACTTCAGCATGAGTTCGATCCCTACCCTGGAGGTGATCCACATGGCATGGCAGACCTCTCCTGACCCGCCCGCTTTTCCCCTCAGCAGTGTACTTCATCAATCTACCTATTTTCTCCCCACTTTGTCTCTGGTGAATCCTCTCACCACCCCTGTACCTCTGTACCCCAATTCTGTATGCACAAATAAATAATCTTAAAAAAATAAAGACATATTAATAAAACTAATGTAATAGTGAGTGAATAGAGAGATTAATGGAAAAGAATAGAAAAATCCATAAATGCACCTATTATATGTACCCAAAAATTCAATAGGAATTTCAAAATAATTTTAACTATAGCATTCAGAGAAATACAAATTAAAACTATAATGAAATATTTTTGAAAAACAACAAATTGGCAAAATTCCAAAAGTTTTCCAGCACATCCAAAATTCTTTGGGATGATGTAAATTGTTTTAATCCCTTGAACTCAATTTGGTAATACTAATTATATAATGACAAGTATATAATGACAACCTGACTCAACAATTCCTCTTTTGGGTTTTATGTAACAGATAAGCATATCAAAAAGATGTGTGTATATATATAAGATAACTCACTGTAGTATTGATTTTCTTTGTATGTCATAGGTATTTGGTCAGAATTGAAAAAGAGCCAGATGCTAGAATACACTGTAGCATGAAGGAAAGAATGAGGAATGTTACAGTGTATTGATGTTAAAGGTCTTCAAGATATTTGTCAAGTGGGAAATAATGTAAATCACATATAAATGTGATATAAATGTATGAAATATATTTATAAGTATAAATATACTATATGTTATTGTCCCTATGAAAATCTAGAGAAAATTGTCTATTTATACTTGAGTTTGCTTATGTATGAATAGCGAATTCTGAAGAAAGATAAAAGAAGTAATAAGCATGGGTCATCTATAGAAGATAGGAGAATTCGATGGTAAAGTAGAAGAAGATGGTATACTTTTTCAGTTCTTTCACGTTGAACAATGTATGTTTTGCCTGTTTGATAAGTAGATAAACAAGTATACAGTCATATATAGTTATTAAAAAAGACTGAGGATACATACATTGATAGGGGAAAACCCTCTTAAGGGTGGTGGATGACTAAATTGAAATAGAATTTGCTATCTAGTGCTTTTGTTGAAAAAGTGGCAACAGTAAGACTGTTTAGTTTTGCTTGTGTCTTTATGAAGAAACTCTGGCGGGATACACAGTGAACATTGAGCTTTGCTGACAGTTCCCCTCCAGATTTCCTTAAGGAATGAAAGATTTCCTGCACCAGGGCTGGAGGGCTGCTTGCAAACAGCCTTCTACTGACAGCCCCTAAGGGGTTGGGTTGGATTTAGGTTATTCCCTCTTCCTGGGTGACACACTCAAGGAATGATCAACCTGGAGGTATGAAAGATCAGTTCCCTATTCCAAATCAGGATATCCCTGAAGAGCCATTGAGTTTTGCAAATTCCCTTTCTTTTCTTTTTTTCTTGCCATCTTAATATATTAATGTGTTAATTTATTTAACACTATTAATTTGTATTGAGGTAATATTAGCAATAATATTATATTAATGAAGGTATTGATTCACACCTCTTCAGATACATGTTAACATGTCACATCCACTACAAAAGCACCCATAATCACCCACACAGTCCACTGGACTCTCTCCCTGCTTGTTCCACACCCCCCACTTTCCCTCTCTGGATAGCCTCAATTTTGCAGTGTGATTCAAGGGTATGTTTTGGTTTAGTTTTGTCTATTCTCTTGTTTCTTTATATTCCATATGTGAGTGAAATCTTATGGTATTTGTCTGTATCCTATCCCCTTTGTTAATACTGCTCATTAGCTTACCTTCTCTCTCTGCTTTGTATTCAGTCCAAAAGAAAGTAGTCCTAATAAGTGTCTGCTTCCTGGGGAGAGCCCCATGGGTGACAAGAAACCAGACAATCATTTCCTGTGATTGAGTTGTGGTGGGAACCAGGTGAATGGACACAAGTTAGGGAAGGACATTTTTCAATTTATGATTTTTTTTTTCAATTTATGATTTTTAATAATTAAAATATTTAGGGCCTCCCTGGTGGTGCAAGGGGTTGAATTGCAGCACTATGAAGCTGTCCACAGCAGCTGCAGAATGAATTCGATCCCTGGCCAAGGAGGTGACCCACACGGTACAGCAGACCTCTCTTGTCTTGCCCGCTGCTCCCCTCAGCAGTGTATTTCAGTGGATCTGCCTGTTCTGCTCCCCACTCTGTCTCTGGTGAATCCTCCCACCCCACCCCCACAATTCAGACCAGCACCCCAGAGCTCGGTTTGCATAAACAAATAAATCCTTAAAAAAATTTAAAATATAAATCATATGGATATATTATTTAAATAATGAATAAAAATGATAATATTAAGCTTGACATGTCTAATAATTTTTGTACATTTCAATCTGTATTTTTAGAGAAACTTTTTTATATTTTAATTTAAAAGGAGATATTTTTAATCAAAATGCTATGCCCCACCACACTCTCAATATGCTTTTCTGTTTGTTTTTCTTTAGGATCTACAGAGAAACATCTTGTTGACTTTACCTTACAATGGAATTTAAAAAGTCACCTGATGGTGGATGGGGCTGGGTGATTGTGCTCGTCTCCTTCTTTGTTCAGTTTTTGTGTTATGGATCTCCGTTAGCTGTTGGAGTCTTATACATAGAATGGCTGGACGCCTTTGGGGAGGGGAAAGGAAAAACAGCCTGGGTCGGATCACTGGCAAGTGGAGTCGGCTTGCTCGCAAGTGAGTAGCTAAATGTATGCTTCCTTTTACTAGGTAATTATTGAATTACATTTGCTGCATCATTAGCACTTTACAATGCATAGGAATTTAGATTTTGAAAGGCATAACGTATTTTCCTGCATTCACTGAGATTATTGAACTACTATCTCCCTATAATAAATATATGTGAAAAAAATCAGTATCCTTAAGTTATGCATCCATTTCTTTGCTACCATGAGCAAAGTGATTGGCTGGGCCACATAGTGTTCTAAATATTGGAAATGAAAAGATATGTCACTATTGACCATAAGAAGCTCATGCTTTAAAGGGAGACACATGTATTTCCATGAGTAAAAATGGAATACAGGGAGATGAAGTCTCTGATCCGGGTATGCCTAACGAATACTAGTGACGAAATGACCAAATGACTTTGAACAGGACTGTAAACAGTTGCAGTCCTATATGATTCATAAGTACTCCTGTGACTGGATGCACCATAGTCAAATTGAGTGTCCTATATTTGCGTCACCTATCTTATTGATTTAAATCATAACATTTCAATTTAGGAGCCATAATTTGAACTCTGCAGTAGTTTTTAGTGATCATCAGTCTAATTCACTTGAAACTATTTAATCACAGTTGTACTGATAGGTAACCTAGCCCTGCAGTCTCTTCCTGTCTGTGAGGGACTTGACATGATTTGAAGAGCAATCACAATCTCCATTCTTGGGGAAAATAAAGACATTTTTGTATGTGGTGATTGTTGCATGGTATTAAATACATTGTCTTTCCTGATCATCAAAAAGCACTTGTTAAAGCAAACAAAACAAAACAGTTGTTTCCAATTAATGTATTACCTTGTTAAGTTAAAAAAAACAAGACTTGAAGAATAATGCTAGATCATAGATCATCTGGCTTTGTCAGATAACTTACCATAACTAAACAAATGAAAATAATACTGTCATTATGAACTCAGGACAAACAGGAAAAGTAGGTCCAAGATTTGTTTTGTTTTTTTTTTTAGGATTTATTTATTTATGCATACAGAACTGGGGTACAAGCCAGAGGTATAGGGGCAGTGAGAGGATTCATCAGAGACAGAGTTGGGGAGCAGAACAGGCAGACTGACAAACAGTGGGGGAGACAGGAGAGGTCTGCCACACCACGTGGGTCACCTCCGGGGCTGGGTATCAAATTGGATCAAATTTGCACTTAAGTGACTACGTCCAGCTTGCAGTGCTGTACCCTAAGCTGCTGTGCCACCAGGGATGGCCCAGGGTCCAAGATTTGTTTGAAAGAGTTTTTGAAAATATTGGTTGTTTGTAAGCTGTCAAAGTACAAGTGAATGATAATTGATATGTTAATAAAGGACTTTGAAAATACTGATTGCTAAAATAAAAAAATATATAGTATAAAAAGGAGATAATTTTTTTTAAAGATTTATTTATTTATTCATACAGAACTGGGGTACAGGCCAGAGTTGCAGGGGCAGTGAGGGGATTCACCAGAGACAGAGTGAGGGCAGAACAGGCAGATCAACGAAGTACACTGCTGAGGGGAGCAGCGGGCGAGTTAGGAGAGGTCGGCCGGGCCATGTGGATCTCCTCTGGGGCAGGCAGGGATCAAACTCATGCGGAAGTGGCTTTTGATTCTTAGTGCTGCGCTTTAACCCACTGTGCCACCAGGGAGGGCCGAGATAATTTTTTAATATTCTCTAATTACTCATCATTCCTATTAACAAATACTAAATTAAGCAGAAGTGTAATAATCTTTCCTTCCAGCAAGGATCAAAGGATAACAACAGTGATCTCTCAGTTTACACATATTCAGAAAACAAAGCTTCTTTCCATAGTCTGTCCAGGTAGGAGTTGAGAGTTCAGGGAAGCTGAGATCTCTAAGTGATGAATGGGACATTGGTGGTGAGAGTTGAGGCAGGGTCTGCAAAATGAACTGCAACTTGGGCTTTCTCCAAATTCATAGGTGCAAGGTCACAAATTCAAGAGCAAGGCCTTGAGACCCTTCACTTGTAGGCAGGGCCAGTTGGTCCTACATAATTTTCATGTACCACTACAGAATGAAAAAGCAGAGCCCCATGTTTAAAAAAGTGAAGAACAGCAGAACAGTAGGTCAAGCGTATGATGCATTTGGACTGGGCCCACTGCAACTGTGTAGGTTACAAGTCCACAAAGCTGATTTGCTTGCAAGGTCTGGAGAGAGAGTGTGCCACCACTGTTCATGGGTGAGAACAAGTAGTTAGGAGGAGCACTGGACTGAAGACAGAGGTAATTCAAGTCCAGACACTACCACTTTTTAGTGGAGCAACCTTGGGCACTTAACTTCCACTGAATGCAGAGACACTTGTCTCAGCTATTCAAAATTTTTGAAGAATCAGGAGACCAAAAGGATCAAGAAAGAGGAGGTAGGAAGGGAAAATTGAAGGTTTGTATTGGGAGGTTTGTAATGGTGGTGGTGTTGCAAGGCCACTATTAGTTGATTTTAAGAAAGGTTATCTAGATAATCCAAATGGACCAGATTCAATCAATTGAAAGTCTTTAAAAGTAGAAATGAGTTTCCCAGAAGAAGAAATTTGGCTCAGTGACTATAGTTTAGGCCTGTGCCAAAATTCCAGCATACCTTCCTGACGGATGGCCTGCCCCATGGATGTTGTACGTGCCTAGCCAGGTCCCCCAGTTGCATAAGCTCATTTCTTGCAATAAATCACTATATATCTATATCTATATTTCTACCTGTGGTTCTATTTCTTTGGTGGAAACCTGGCTGGTATAGGAGGCAGGAAGTTACTTGAACTTGAGAACTATTATGGTCTTACATTATTTTTATTTTTTTAAGATTTATTTATTTATGCATACAGAAGTGGGGTGCTAGTCAGAGGTGCAGGGGCAGTGAGAGGATTCACCAGAGACAGAGTGGGGAGCAGAACAGGGAGATTGACAAAGTATAGTGCTGAGGGAAGCAGCAGGTGAGACAGGAGAGGTCTGCTGCACCATGTGACTCACCTCAGGGTGGGGTATTGGACTCACACTGAAGTGGCAGCTAGCTTGTAGTGTTGTGCGTTAACCCATGGCACCACCAGTGAGGGCCGGTCTTGCGCTATTTTAAGATGAGCTAACACATCCTTTGGTTACATGTTGTTCTTCAAACTACAGAATTATGGAAACATTTTTGAGAGAAGCAAGTTGTTAAAACAGCATGGGAAACTTTTCCTGCAGTTTTGAACTCAAAACAGACTTACTGATCTTTCCCCCACCTTTTTTTTTCTTGTCCTTTATTCCTCCAAAGGCCTTGGAATTCATATCGAGTCGGGAAATCTATGAAAATACATGAATGTGAAAAACAATATAGTGAGCCAATATAGCCAACTGACTTGTGGAATGACTTGTGAGTGCTGACAGAGCTGAATTTGAGCTTACCTGTAGGAGTTTAAGCCTCCCTTAGCCCTGTCAAGCAGGACAAAATTTCTATTTTTTTTTAAAGATTTATTTTATTTGTACATACAGAACGGGGGTACACAGTCCAGAGGCTCAGGGGCAGTGAGAGGCTTCACCAGAGACAGAGTGGGGAGCAGAACAGGCAGATCGACGAAGTACACTGCTGAGGGGAGCAGCGGGCGGGCCAGGAGAGGTCTGCCACGCCATGTGGTCACCTCCCGGGCAGGCAGGGATCGAACTCATGCTGAAGTGGCTTTAGCTTCTCAGTGCTGTGCTTTAACCCCCTGCGCCACCAGGGAGGGCCCAAAATTTCTATTTTTTCCAAAGATTCTCTTACTTTAGTTAGATCTCCATGTGTTAAGTAGTTCCAGGGTTGCTGAGGATAATCACAGGTATTGGTTAAGCTTTGCATCACCTCTATCTATCACCCAACCAAACAACAAAGAAGACAGTCATGTATGTGAGCGATCAAGGATTTTGCTTCTTAGTGTCTTTGTATTCCTCAGAGAGATGAAGTAGAAATTCATGGTCTCTCAGCAGGAGCAAGGAAAGTGGAACCTGATAGTCCACAGGGGTCCATACCCTGGGCTGTCAGCATTGTAGTGAGGATTAGGTCTCTCATAGGCCCAGTCAGGAGTCTGCTAGGAAATCTTTACTTCATGACATACAACCTGGATGCCCCCAGATTATACTTTCCCCTGTACTGTAAGCCTACTGCACCTTCAGTGCTCCCACCCAAGCCATCCCACCTTTTTGGGACTCTGAAACATTTGGAAAGAGATATGCATAGTTGATTTAGATTCCAAAAATAATTTTTCCCAAAGTTACAATAATTATAAAGTGGAAAACCATATTGTGTTCCTTTGTTTGGAATATCCCTTTAGTAGATATTAAATGGAATAGATACTAAATGGAATATCCATTTAGTATCTATATAGTAGATACTCTATCTACTAAATGGATATTCCATTTAGTAGATATAGTATGAACCATAGTTCATACAGAGCAAGACTCATTTCCGTGGCTCACAGTGATCTTCATACTTCATACAGAGTAAGACTTATTTCTTTGGCCCACAGTGATCTTCCTCTTCACGTGACTAGAACCTTTCTTGCCTGTGACCTTGGGTTTTAACTCTTGACGTGTTGTTTCTTTTGCTTTCAGGTCTAGGTCCTGGATTGCGTGTGGTATTTTCTGTGTCTTCTACAGAATGAGTTTCCTGTGCTCTCCCACAAAAGTGATCAGGTGGCTACTGATCACTTAAAATGTAGTTAGTTAGAAATGTGTTATACATGAAACGAACACACATGAAATTCAGACTTGGCTACAAGACAAAAGAATATAAAATAACTCATTAATGATATTGAAGCAATAATGTTTGGGATTTGTTAGATTAAATGCATTCTGAAAATTTTCATCTCTTTTTTTCAATCTTTAATGTGGTTATTAGAAAGTTTAAATTCTTGTGTGACTCAGATGTGTGACTTCTTATATTTCCATTGTACAGTGCTGCTCTAGAGGACATTTGATAAATAGGAAAGGAAAGAGAATGATAAATACTTTTTGTTTAATTAATGCAGACTATATTACTATTACTAACAAACTCTAAGAAGTTTATTCTTTCTCCTTGCTAATTTTAAATCAACAAAAATTTCACTGTGTTGTTTGCTCCTAAGTTATTCTGAAGAGCTAAAGGAAACAATTTCACAACTTACTTGTAGAGAATTCCGACTTTTTTTTTTAAGATCGTATTTGTTTTTGCAAAGAAGAACTGGGGTGTAGGCCAGAGAATAGGGTGGGGAGCAGAACAGGCGAATCTACTGAAGTATACTGCTGAGGGGAGCAGCAGGCAAAAACAAAAGAGGTCTGCTGGGCCACGTGGGTCAGTTCCTTGGCCGAGGATCAAACTTAAGCCATCAAGATGGGCCTTCAAGTTGGTAGCACTGACTCTTAGCCTTTAGGCCTACAGGGAGGCCCAAGAATTCTGACTTTCTTAGAACAACTCATACTTCCCATTTTTAATTCACCCGTGATCATAACAAAAACACTTTTGCAATTAAGAGTTTTCATTTCCCTCTTTTTTATTTATTCGCCTCAATTGCTGAAAAGTACATTAGTCAGTCTGATTTCTATTAGCAAATTATTTTATTTTTTTGTTTGCTTTATTTTGTATTTAAGGGGTTGCAATGCTCAAAATCCTATCCTTATCTTCTGTTCTTCACTCCTTTCTTTGGCTTGCAGTGTTATTTTCTAGAATAGTTTCTTACCTTTTTTGAGTGAAAGTCTCAGTATTGTGTTCAAAGTGTTGCCAGGTCCCTACAGCAGAGTAGAATGTTGTGGGAGAGTATAGTGTCTCTTGGGAGCTTTGCATACCATCTAGCAAGGACGGAATTGTTCATCTTTTTGCATTACTCATTCCACCTGCTGTTCTTAAATATTTCTTTGTTGACTGTCTGCTCTGCTATTAACAGTTAGCCCAGGGTTTAACCCAACAGCCAAGATTCATCTCCAGAACAGAAGGTAGCAATAGTAAAAATGGCTTCTCAGCATCAATGCGTAAGCAGCATAAGTTCAAGAAATGTTTTCACTAAGGTAAAATTAATGTAAAAGAGTGATTGTGTATTGTGAGTATGTATTGTGTATGTGTGTGTGATCCTGGACCCCACTGTCTCCTTATTATCTTACTTTTTACTCTGAAATTATATCCTTTCATTCTTTCCTTATTAAAAGTGTCCTTCAATGACTGTGGTAAGAGACCGTTAATTATTTTAAAAATGTCATTACTTATCAAAATAAAAGCTTCACAACAAGATGATAAGGCTCTCTTCCCTCTTTTTCTAAAATTTTAAAGTCCCAAAATGTGGAATCTCAGGTTCATATTACAAGTTAACTAACTTTTGCTGCAGTTTCTTTTTGCAAAATGAAAGAACTGAGGATCCTAAGAAACATTCCCTGAGGACAATCCCTTGATTCAAGTCATCCCTTGAGACCAGTCCTATGATGAGGAGTTAGGTAGAAACACCCTGGTTCTGAGGATGAGAATAAATAATTTTCTTTAAAATTTTTTTGAATGTCAAAATCTGTAACACATTTTCATTTTTGTGTAAAAGGTATATACAGAAAAGTATATTATTGTGAGGGTTTCAGTTGGTGAATTCACAAACACCCATGGAATAAAACACATTCGCATCCAGAAACAGAACATTAACAATAGCCTGGAATTTGAACTCGCTCCCTTCTAGTGATAATTCCCTACTCCTTCCCAACAAGAAACACTATCTTCACTTCTAACCATAGATTACTTTTGTCTGTCTCTGTTCTTTTTAAAACTGGCATTACACAACATCTACTTTTTTGAGTTGGGTGTCTTTTCCTTCACAGGTGTTCGTGAGATAACTCTGTTTTGCTGTGGGTAGCAGACCATTCGTTCTCATTGCCATATATTACTCCACTGTAGGAATATTTTTAATTCATCGGTGATCATAACAAAAACACCTTTGCAGTTAAGAGTTTTCATTTCCCTCTTTTTTATTTATTCACCTCAATTGCTGAAAAGTACATCAGTCAGTCTGATTTCTGTCAGCAAATTATTTTATTTCTACTCACACATTGTTCTGCAGATGAACATCTGAGTCTAGTTTGACTCAGATGGTATTATAGGGCAAGAAGAGGGATACCCCTAAACCCTCTAACCCCCAAACCTGCCTGCACTAAATAGGTTCTGCTACCTGCCGCATCAAGACAAAACATGTAAGACCTTTAATGGAAAATAACTTTCATACAATTAGGGTGCAATACAAAAAAGACAAAGAATGCAGTTTCTAAATCAAACACCCAAAGCTGTCCCTCCCCTCGTGGGTGAAAGTCCACCCAAGAGCCCTCTCTGGTAGTGCCATGGGTTAGGACTCAGCACTGCAAGCTAGCCACAGCTGCTTCAGTGCGAGTTCAATCCCCGGCCCAGAGGTGATCCACATAGTGCAGCAGAACTCCTGTCTTGCCTGCTGCTCCCCTAGCTGTGTACTTTATAGATCTGCCAACTCTGTTCCCCACTCTGTCCCTGGTGAAGCCTCTCACTCACCCTGCACCTCTGGTTTGTACCCCAGTTCTGTTGGATAAATAAGTAAATCTAAATATATATATATTTATATAAAGTCCACCCAGAAGGGATTGGCTCAAAGCAGCCTGAAAGCCCGCCACAAGTCTAAAGCACCTTCTGACAGGGACCCATAGAAAAGGGTCAGAAATAGCCAGATGAGTTTGGGAAGAAAAGAGCAAAATTAAAATCAAGATAAATTCTGCCAGAGTTAACCTCCCCATGGATCCCTTGCCCACATCTGTTTCAACCAGTTCAGGGCCAAGAAACAAGAGCAGCTTCTTCACATGTCTCTCTGTTCCATGTGCCTCCTCAGGTGTCCTTCTGGCTCTCCATCTTGCTTCCTTCCTCTTCAGTCTCCTCTCCAGATTCTTCTCTTCCCTGCTCAGTTCCACCCTCTTTGGTTGGGGCAGGGAACCTGAACCTCCCTTTTCCTGGGGACCAGCCTGTTACAATATGAATAGTTCTGTTATGAACATTTATATTTATGACTTTTAGTATAGGCTTTTCTATTGTACACACAGAAGTGTGTACACACGGAAGTGGGATTCTGGGTTATACTGTGTGTGGCGCTTGGTCTATTTAGGATACAGTGAGTATTTGTTCCATATCCTTCCTAACCCTTACTATTCTCTGTTTTCAGCTTTCTTGACCAGTGTGCTTTTTATAAATTGGGAATAATAGTTTGTCTCCTGAAAGATTGTTGTCAAGTCAATTAAAGGGTGTTATTTCTGCTTCTAACTAATGGTTTTTTTGTACCATGGGCTTGGACAACCTCTCTGAGTTTCAGTTTCCTCCCGTGTAAATGAGACCATTTGGCTGAATAACCCATAATGTCTTTTTATTTTTTTTAAAGATTTATTTATGCATACAGAAGTGGGGTACAGGCCAGATGTTCAGAGGCAGTGAGACGGTTCACCAGAGACAGAGTGGGGAGCAGAACAGACATATTAAGAAAGTACACTGCTGAGGGGAACAGTGGGCAGGTCAAGAGTAGTTTTGTAGTGCTGTGCTTTAACCCTGGTGAGGAAGGGCCCCGTGTCTTTTTATTTCTAAAAGACTAAACTCTTGGTTGTACATACTTTTTTTGGGTAAGGTGTAGTGGGAATGAATTTCACTATCTTTTAAATCCTATTGCATGAGCTGTTACTACCTTAGGCATCAAACAGGTTCAGGTCATGGTCACATCTGCTTGTCTGTTAACAGTAAACTTTCTCCCTCAAATTTCAGGTGCTACATGGAATGTAGGACAGTGGTACCAACTCATGTCTGAGTGGTAGGGAGCTCCTCTAATGGGCTCTATCTGTTAGAACATTCTCTATGAAGGGAGTCACCAACTCTTTCCTCCTCATTTCTCCATTGGGTCACTAAGCTGCATTCAATTTTCAAGTTGATTTCATCATCATCTGTATGACTGGCCTTGTGCTGGAAAGGAGCTTTTGATAGGATAGATCCATGGAACATGCAGGAGTCAGAAATCCTCAGAATCATATGGTTCAGCCAGAGGGCTCAAGAATGAGGCTCGGGTTGTTACTTCTTCCTCTATAACTACTGTCATGACTGCTGCCGTTGCCTCTGTCATATCTGCAGTAATTGGACACTTACTTGTACTAGCCTTGTGATCAGCTTGACATCTGAGCTGTTTTTTTCTTCTTTCAGTAGCACTTTGAGGTAGGTACCATTATAATTCCAATTTGCAGATGAAAAAACTAAAACACAGATCAAGTCAGTTGACTAAAATCAAACTGCTGACGAGTAAGAGAACTCACATTTGAATAAAGTCTGACTCTAGAAGCTCCATTTCTTAATTATGTTATCTCACCATCTTAAAACTTTAGTTTTTGTTAAAAACTGAGGGAACTCATAGCATCTACCCCCAGGCTGCAGTAGGGTTTGGATGGAATGAAATTGTTTGCGGGAAGTACCTCACAGAGTATCCAGCCATGGTAAATACACAGATGTTGATGATGATTGCTCTTATTTTTATGATGGACAGAAATATTTTAAACTTATGATGGATCATATAATTGTGGGAATTAGGCAACTTTTATGTAATGTAAGTGTCCTTTTCTTATTTTAGGTCCCATCTGTAGCCTCTGTGTTTCATCTTTTGGAGCAAGACCTGTGACTATCTTCAGTGGTTTCATGGTGGCTGGAGGCCTGATGTTGAGCAGTTTTGCCCCCAATATCTACTTTCTATTTTTCTCCTATGGCATTGTTGTAGGTAAGAAACCTGGTATTATCACTTTTCTAAGTATCAAGAGTTAAACAACATTTCGTTAACATTAGGCTTATTATTCAGTTGATGTAAGAAGTGAAAGTACTCAGCAATAATTTACTTTCAAAGACTATGACCCCCAAAAGTATGCTTTAGTAAACTATTCAACCAATGAATCAAAATATTTGAAAGAATAAGTGTTTTAACATACACTTCATGTTTTCTTGTACAGTGCAGGAATGTGTTTCAGTTCAGCATGTCTGAAATGAACAGCACAAGAAAGGGAAAGGAGTGTGGAGCTTCAGTGCCCCTGACATCTGTCACTTCATTCACTTAGGAAGTGGTCCCTTTCATTTTGGGGGCTAAGTAGGGTAGTCCAGAGCTATGTGTGCTCTAAGTGTCCTGCCCTTTTATAGCATCTGTCACAAAGACCCAAATTAGGAAGACACAGGAGAAGTAGAAAGGAAATTCTAAAGCACTTAATAATTTTAAAGCACTTAGTAAAGATAAGGCATGAATGAATAAAATTGAGTTTTGGGGATGACTGACAGTCTCGATTACTGATGAGGAAAAGCACAGCAGAAAGGGCTGAAAGCACTGGTAGATTTGAGGGACTGCTTTTGTGCTGTAGTGCACTGATTGTATTCAGTGTTAACTATCACTGGTATTCATAAGAGCTGTTGGCAGGAAACATTAAAAAGATGATTACAGATTTTGAGTTTCTTCTTAGTACCAGAAAGAGCAATTATATTAGCTACCAATAGTCTACTTTCTTACTTTTACCCTGAGTATTTAATGTGTGTTAGCCTCTGGGCTTTACATGATCTTATTTAATCGTCACAAAATCCATTTTACAGAGAGGGTATAAGGAAGCTTGGAGACATGGAGTCAATAACTAAAGGCTCTTAGCTCAGAGATGTGGGTTTGAGCCACTGGCCCAAGTGCTGTTAGGTATACATTTTTGTATTTATCTTTAGTGTTTTTATTTTAGTGTTTCTTAAAGTTTGTTTTAATTTCAATTACATACCCCAATGCTACTCAAATCTTAATCTAAATGAGCCAGTCACTTGTTACATTTTCAAGAACAGGTAGTATATATTTGATAGATTATAATCCTTATAGTGATTAACATTGTTTGAATCATGGGTGCAAAAATATTTATTTCTGGTATAAAGTTTGAGAGTTTTCATTGAATATAATATTGCATTTTTAAATCATAAAAATGAAAACATAGCTGTTTGTATTTATGTATGAAAATTGGAATATTGCTTTTAAGACAACTCCCTTTTTATATAGAAAATTGAATCATTATAACTATAGTATAATTTGGGCATTTACCCTAAACTGTGGACAAAACTTTAACATTTCATGAGGTGTCCTAGATGTGATTGCAAGGTTAATCTAGGTATGGCATTTGTAAGTATGTGTCTGAAGTTGTCAATGACTTAAAATGAGTTATGCCATGGCATTTACATGAAAATGAATTTTTAAAAAGAAAAAAATGGGTTTATATTGTCTAAGATTTGTGTACATGTGATTGTTTTGGAAGAAAAGCTAAGGGTGTATATAGAAAGGAAAAGACAAAATTAACTAATTCCCACTACTAAATTCCAAAATTTCTGTAGCAGTGTAAAGAACTTTACCAACTGTGAAGTTGATATTGATTTGGTTAATCTTGTCAGAATATATATATATATATTTTAAATATTTATTTATTTGTGCATACAGAACTGGGGTACAGGCCAGAGGCTCAGGGGCAGTGAGAGGCTTCACCAGAGACAGAGTGGGGAACAGAACAGG